TGGAGGGTGCTGGGGGATGCTGGAGGGTGCTGGGGGGTGCTGGAGGGTGTTGGAGGGTGCTGGGGGGCGCTGGAGGGTGTTGGAGGGTGCTGGAGGGTGCTGGGGGGTGCTGGAGGGCCGGCAGTGCCCGCAGGTGACGGCACCCACCCCCACCCATAGTGAGGGGCAGACCAGGGCTCGGGTGAGCCGCACTCCAGGCTCCTCCAGCAGTGCCCGGCCCCGGCTCAGCCTCAGCCCTCGCCCTGTTCCAGACCGGCCAGGATCGTGCGGCTGCTGGGGGCCACTCAGCCTCGGGGATCATACAGAACCTTTTTCTATTTCGTCGTGGAGAAACTGCCCTTGACCACTAGCTGTTACAGCCCATCGCCAAGATCATGTGCTGGGAGGGCCACAGCTCAGGCTCCTTCCTTGGGAAAATGTCCAGGCTCCTCCATCAGTGACAAACCACTCAAACAGAATGTGGAGCACCAGGCTGATTTCAGAGAGAAGAACCCGTCAAGATTTGCATGTCTGCGTCCCTTCGCCAATACCACACAGGCTAAGTAGGATTTAGAAACAAAAAGTAACTCTGGATTACTTTTACTGATCTAAAGGTACCCTGGAGAAACCAAATCCCTCTGACCCCGAGCAACACATCTTACAATTCTTACCATAAATTCACCAAGCTATAATATATCCAGTTTATTTCCTCCTACATCTGTCTTCAGAGGGTCACAGGAAGGCAAGAAAAAAGTTCAGAAGGGAGGGAGCGAGGATGATAAAGGCCCAGATCAGCTTCGGTGCATGGAACAATTTAGTCTCCATTCTGGAAAAGAGAAAAATGAAGGAAATGGGGAAAAGGACAATGAAATCATGAGTGGTCTGTTGAGGGAGATTTTGTTCATCTCTGTGGAGCTGATTTTGTTCACTGTCTCCCAATACAAAAGAGGCACAAAATGAGGCTAATGGAAGCCAAGATCAGAGCAAAGGCAGCGGCTGTTCATGTGAGGGGCGGTGGGCTGGGGAGATTCTTGCCATAGAATTAATTCTGTGGGTGCTCGAAATTCACATCAACCAAAGAGGGGCCCGGATCACCCCACAGAAGAGAAATCCTTCGAGGGTTCCTGAATAGAAGAGCCACCTCCAGCTCCTGAAGTCACGTGAGTCACAAGGAGTTGGGTCAGGATGTGTGTTGAGGTGGGACACTGTGAGCGCTTCCCCCGTTCCAGAGGTGGGACACTGTGAGCGCTTCCCCCGTTCCAGAGGTGGGACACTGTGAGCGCTTCCCCCATTCTTCCAGACCTTCCTGTGCCTCCACTCACGGCCACCGTTGGAGCTTGGGCCAGAGGGAGTCTGAGCTGACTCCCAGTGAGATGGTCCTTATGATCTTGCGTGTGTTCCACTTTTAACAATGACATTTCAGCCTTGATTTAGCTGTCATGTCTTTATTTCTCTTTATTTTTGTCTACAGTTGTTTTTTCTCACCTTATTCCCTCTCAGACATTTTCATAAGCAGCAGCAAGCTGAACAGCATCTCTTCTCAAGGAACAAACTCTTACGACCCGCTACCCATTGCTGTTATCCGGTTGCTCTTCCATATGTCTGTCTTCTGGTTTAAATTAATGTCTCTTTAATATAGCAGATCAGAATTCCCACTGAGTTCTAAGGAAATGTCATCTGCACCTTATAGAAAAGCATTTAAGGGAAGGCTTCCTTTCCCCACTGGAAATGCCTTGCTTGCTGTATTTCGGGATATTTGCTTTTTCAGAGTTCATCATCTTACCATCTGACACATGACTCACAGGTATTCCTCCTCTTCTCTGGTTTCTAACGAGGGTCATTTCCAGCTTCTGGCCAAGTATCTTCTAAATCATTGCTAAGACCAAGATCCACAACATGATTTAGGCAGATACTCTCCATGGCTTCTAACACCTCGGCATTTGCAGCAATGCCTGCACTGATACAGGTTCAAATACATTCATTTAGGTTTTGAAAGATTCATCAAATACACGGGCTGATGATGCTGAAAGATGTTCATGCGATCAAAAGGCTGCTATCCATTATATATTTAAAAATTGTGCCTTTGGAGAAGTCCTTGACTGGAAATAAGCTAACAGAGCAGGCAGGTGTGTAACGACACTTCCCACAGAGCACAAGAGCCCTCAATCCCCGAGTGTAAGAAATCAGGAAAGGAAGGCAAGAGACTGCATGGCTGAGGAAAACTACAGGGCAAGCTAAAGGGCAAGAAGGAGATGCACAGGCAGTGGAAGTAGGGACAGGTGTCCTGGGAAGAGTATAGGGACGCTGCCCGGTTGTGTAGGGGGGGGGTCAGGAAGGCCAAGGCACTGCTGGAGCTGGGGGCTTGGTCAACAGCAGCTGAACACGAGCCAGCAGTGTGCCCAGGGGCCAAGGAGGGCAACGGCATCCTGGCTGGTGTCAGCACTGGCGTGGCCAGCAGGGACAGGGAAGGGATCTGAGCCCTGGGCTGGGCACTGGGGAGGCCGCCCCTCGATTCCTGGGTTCAATTCTGGGCCCCTCACCCCAAAAAGGCCATTGAATGACTCGAGCGTGGCCAGAGAAGGGCAACGGAGCTGGGGCAGGGTCTGGAGCACAGGTCTGCTGGGGAGCGGCTGGGGGAACTGGGGGGGTTCAGTCTGGAGAAGAGGAGGCTGAGGGGAGACCTCCTGGCCCTCTGCAACTCCCTGCCAGGAGGGGGCAGAGAGGGGGGATGAGTCTCTTGAACAAGTGATGGGAAGGGAGGAAACGGCCTCAGGTTGAGCCAGGAGAGGCTCAGGTTGGATATTAGGAAGAATTTCTTCCCTGAAAGGGTTGTCAAGCCCTGGAACAGGCTGCCCAGGGCAGTGGTGGAGTCACCGTCCCTGCAGGGGTTTACAAGATGTAGACATGGCCCTTGGGGACATGGTTTAGTGGTGGCCTTGGCAGTGTGATGTTCCTGGTTGGACTCGATGATCTTAAGGGTCTTTTCCATCCTGAATGACTCGGTGATTCTATGATTCCTTGATTCTGCTCAACATCTTTTTTGCCTCAGTCTTCACCGGCAGTCTCTCTTCCCACACCTCTTGAGTGGACGGACCTCAAGGCAAGGCCTGGGGGAGCAAAGTCACTCCCACTGTACGAAAAGATCAGGTTCAAGACACCCTGAGGAACCTGAACATAAGTAAGCCTGTGGGACCTGGCAAGTGTATCCCGGAGTCCTGATGTAGTCTCCAAGCCAATCTCCATGATATTTCAAATGTCATGGCAGTCAGGTGAAGTCTCAGGTGACTGAAAAAAGGGAAACATTGCACACATTTTAAAAAAGGGTAGAAAGGAGGACCCTGGGAACTGCCACCCTGCCAGCCCCTGTGCATGGGAAGCCCATGGAACAGATCTTCCTAGGAGCTGTGCTAAGGCACATGGAGGACAGGGAGGTGATTTGAGACAGCCTGCGTAGCTTCACCAAGGGCAAGTCCTGCCTGGCCAACCTAGTGGCTTTCTGTGATGATATGGCTGACATTCCTGAGGGACGATGCTCTCCAGAGGGACCTGGACAAGCTCCAGAAGTGGGCTCATGTGAACTTCATGATTTTCAACAAGGCCAACTGCAAGGTCCTGCACCTAGGTCAGGTCAAGGCCAGGTATCAGCACAGGCTGGGGGATGAAGGGATTGGGAGCAGCCCCGAGGAGAAGGACTTGGCGTACTGGTGGATGAAAAGCTGGGCATGAGCTGGCAATGTGTGCTCACAGCCCAGAAAGGCCCCGTGTGCTGGGCTGCACCCAGAGCAGGGTGGGCACAGGGCCAGGGGGGGATTCTCCCCCTCTGCTCCGCTCTGGGAGACCCCACCTGGAACATTTATCCAGCTCTGGAGTCCTCAGCACAGGAAAGACACGGACCTGCTTGAGCGGGTCCAGAGGAAGCTTCAAAAATGATGAGAGGCTTGGAACACCTCTGCGGTGAGGGCAGGCTGAGAGAGCTGGGGCTGTTCAGCCTGGAGAAGAGAAGGTTCCAGGAGGACCTTATACTGGCCTTTCAGTACTTAGAGGGGGCTTGTAAGAAAGATGGAGACAGCCTTCAGCAGGGCCTGTAGTCACAGGACAAGGGGTGATGGTTTTAAACTGAAGGAGAGCAGATGCGGACTAGATATAAGGAAGAAGTTTTTTATGCTGAGGGTGGTGAAACACTGGCACAGGTTGTCCAGAGGGGCTGTAGATGCCCCATCCCAGGAAACATTCAAGGTCAGGCTGGACAGAGCTCTGAGCAACCTGACTGAGTTGAAGTGGTCCCTGCTTGCTGCAGGGGGGGTTGGACTTCCAACCCAAACCATTCTATGCCTCTAACATTACCCTCACCTTGGAGAAAGGCAAGGCAGAGCTCAGAGAACCATCAGCTCGTCAGGGTCATCCCTGTACACAGAAAACTCACGGACCACATTCTCTCAGAATCCAGTTCTGAACACATGGAGAACAAGGGGGCAATCAGGAACAGTCAGCACAGAATTAGCAACCACAGATTGTACCTGACCAGCCTGATTAACTTCGACAGAATGACCGACTATATGGATGAAGGGAAAGCAGTGGGTGCAAAGTGCCTTGACAGCCTTGGCAGTGGGTCCCACAGAATTCTCACTGATAACCTGAGGAAGTACGAGCTGAACGAATGGGCCATCAGGTGGGCTGAAAAGTGGCTACACCTCTGGGCTTAAAGGGTGGTGCTCAGGGACTCAGCCTGGGCTGTGCCTGGCAGCCAAGGGCAGACACCAAGCACTGATCTGGAGCCAGTTTGGCTCAGTACCTCACTAATGTTCTCTTACGTTGCGCAGTACTTCGTTAATGTTCTGTTACATTGCTCAGTACCTCACTAATGTTCACACCCAGAGTGCAAGTTTGCAGATGACACCGGGAGGGGTGGCTGATACGCTGCATGGCAGGACTTTGGTCAGAGCGAGGTCTAGAGACTCAGAGAATTGGATTAGCAGAAACCTGACGAAGATCACTAAGGAGAAAGAAGTACAAAGTTCTGCACCTGAGGGAAAACGACCCCTAAGTGGCACAGGGGGGGAAGCAGGTGGCTGAGCTGCAGCCCTGCTCAGTGTGGAGGTGGGGGACGCTGAACGGAGGGTCAGTAACGTGGTGGCACCGCAAACCCGGGAAACACCTCACTGCACCGCCTCAGGAGATGGGGGGAGCGGCAGATCAGTCATTAGCCCCCTCGGCCTGGGAAGCGGTGAAGCCACACCTGGAACCCTGTGGACATCTGTGGCTCCCCCTGTTCACGAGGGATGTGGAAAACCTGCAGGAGACAGACAGGGGCCTGGCACGGGCGATGGACCGATGGGCAGAGGCTGAAGGAGCTGGGCCAGCTCAGTCTGGCCATGAGCGGGCTGAGGGGCTGGTAACAGCATCCTGAAAAGGTGATGGCACCAAATGCTTCCTCGTAGCAGCAGACAATAGAACAATAACAGCGGACACAATTACAGCTTGGGAGATCCACAGTGAGCATTAGGGAAAGGTTTTTCACCAGGAGAGTAGTGTAGCCCTGGAAAAATCTACTCACAGAGGCTGTGAGTCTCAGCCCCTTGCAAGTTTTCAAGGCTGATCTGACCCAGCACTGCTGGCAGTCTGTCTTCGAATGAGAGGCTGGACTACGCATCTCTGGACACCCCTTTTAACCACGAAGGGCCGCCTACTATCAGTCTATAGAATTAATTCCAGTTCTCTTAGGCTACTCCTTAGTAAGGGCTTTTTGCTTTTATGATGTTCTGGTCACCCTCTCTACTCACAATGCCTCTGTACACTGTGCCACTGACCAACCCTATCAGTATACTTTTATTTTTCTGAGATTTTTACTGAACAAAATTAAATAGATGAGCTCCAAAACCGATCCTTGAACAGACTGCGCATAAAACTTCTGATTTACCAGTAATCATTTTTTTTGCCAGTCTCCCACACCTTACAGTTTTCATATTAATTTCTTCTTCTCCATTTGAATAAATAACTTTTTATGTGTTATTGCAGCACTGCATTTCAGATAGTCCCATCAACCTTTTCCTGGCCCCCAAAAAATGACTTATAAAGTTGTCTAGTGTGCTAGTCCAGCACCATTTGGCAAACTTGCTTCGTTTGATCACATTTGCCATTTGCTGTCCTATTTTCAAATTATCATCTCCCTTCATAATCTGCTTTGAATCCTTCATACTGCTGCAAGCAATCTGCCTTTTCCTAGGTCCATCACTTCAGCCCTCCCTTCTTTTAGTATCATCTGCGATGTTTGGCATTGTTCAGCCCCGTGGCACTACCACGGATCATTGAACAACCCTCCTCTCAGACTCGCAACTCACACACAAGGGCTGCCTCTACTTAGAGATGGGAATTAGTGGATTCCTTTTGATTTCCTAGTAAATTCTAATTTACTGTGTACTCCTGGAGCCTCTTGGAAGGGAGTAGAGAACAGATCCACATCATGTGCTTGGGCATTCAGAGAGATCCTGGACAGTCTTTCTGGCATGCAAGTATCTTTGGAGCTGTATGGGGACTGGCAGAAAAATATAAGTCAAGCTATGCCTTGTAAGAGCAGCTGAGACACAGAAACGAGCAGAAATATGCTATTCAGCTCTTCAGGGCAGAGGGTTACTGGTAGTAGTAAAGACTGGGACAGGACTGCAAGGCTCCCAGCTGTGTCATGCCCTTCGATAGAATTATTAATTATACAGAGACCAGAGCATGAGAAGGCAGCAAAACTTGAAGACGACTGAGTTCTTTGGATTAACCAGTGCTCTGGTGAACTCCAGAAATTGAAATGACGTAGGAGCTGGAGAAACATGGCAAGCTGGAGTCAGCAGTGCCCCAAGCACAGCTGGAAGGGCCCCCACACCTCTGCGTGCTCTGGCCTTCCCTGCATCGGCAGCAAACGCTGCGATGCCGTGGGGTGCTGGGCCCTCCCTCCTGCTCTCTCCTCACACCACCACGACCCTGACCCTGGAGGTGTGCATGTCCCCTCCCAGACTGGACTGAGCACATTCCCACCCTCACCCACAGCAGGTGGGAAGTGGCAGTTTAGGACCTTCCTGCTGGGTAGCATCTTGCTCCCGAACCGAACAGCAGCGATCTGGCAGGTAGCCCTGCAGGACCGCTCGGAGGTTCCACTCCTGCAGGCTGGACTCCAGTTCAAAAGTCCCAAACAGGAAATCCTTCTCGGATGTGCTTAGGCTCCGATTCCCGGATGTTCACAGCAAGCAGAGGCTTCCTGCATCCAGAACGGAGGTTAAAAATAAAAGAAGGCAGGCACCTGCTAGGGACATACACAGCTGGGGCCAGGGGGAGGCAGGGGAGGGAGAGGACAGCTCTCCCTAAGACAGGAGTAAGTTTTTTCAGGTGAGATCCCAAGTTTGCCTCTGCCATTTGGAATGCCCTTGAAATGCATGAAGTACAGAAAAAGAGTTGCAAGATCATTTCGCCTAGCAAACA